CTCAGGAAATGCCTCACTGTGGTGTGGGATGCTGTGCCAGAGATGGACACAGCAGGGAAAGGGCTGGTGCAGAGGGAGGACAGGGCCACTGGTAGCCACGGGCTCAAGACAAAGGGCTGCTGCTTTCTGCCCTGGCCTTGGGGGCAGCGAGGGGTGGTGAGTGTCCCTGCACCCAGGGGATGGTGACACAGCAAAGCAAGAGCCCCGGGCAGGAGGGTTTGCATGTCCACTTGGGAGGCTATAAATCCTGACCTCACCACTGCAACACAGATCAGCTGCACAATGCCACCAAAAGTGACTTTTCTACCTGTGGCACAGCCTGGGCTTTGGGAAGTGCCAGCCTGGATAGACTGTAGGAGCAGAGGGATTCACTGCCAGAATTGCCTTCCCTTTTCCCAGCCTGCGATGGGAGACTCACCACACTGGGGTCTGTCATCGATTGCTACCATCCTTTCCAGACCCCTTTTAAGATGAATGAGTTACTTTTGACCCCATCCAGGACGTTTTTCAGAGTGCAGTGGTGAGACTGCCCCAGAGCTGTACTGAGGAAAAAGAAATGTCGGGCAAATTCCGGGGATGGTGGCTGCCCCGGATGCTCTCACCAGCCATGCCCTGTTAAAGGCACTGGCAGTCCAGCTCTGGCAGCACCTCTACAACTGGCAGCAGAAAGTGAAATGAGACCAAGCTGCATTTTTTTTCCCCCTTGTCCACCCAGCAAACTATTACAGCTTTTCTGCCAGGTCCTGTCCCCTGGGTCTCAGGGGAAGGAGCCGCCCCAGGAGGGGGAAGAGCGGAGGAGCCAGTCTGGCCGCCAGTCTCCATCATGCTCAGAAAAAAAAGAATAAGAGAAAATTGTGCTGGATTTTTTGTTTGGTTGTTTTGGGTTTTCTTTTTAATATATATGGAGGTTTTGTGGCTTTGACGCAGTTTCCTGAAAATCCTGCCTCATCCTGCCAGGGACTGAGCAAATGCACATCCCAGCCCTCGGCGCTGGGGAGAGAAGGAGGAGAAGCCAGGGAGGGAGAGAAGAAAGCCTTTGCCAAACTGGCCTGACCAGAATGTGACACAAGAGCAGGAAATGAGTCACGCCGGCAGGGCAGCTGCTCCCAGGCATTTGCATAGAAAGAAACCCCACCAAGCAGGGAACTGCACCGGCCCTCATCCGGCTCCCCCTGCTCCAGCCCCGCAGCTGCCGGGCCCGCTGCCGCACTCACCAGCACCCACCAGCACCCCCAGCTCAGCCAAGGTGGTGAGCCCTGGAGCATCATCCCTGCTCCACAGCTGGCTGGCTGTGCACCCCTGCATTTGGCCAGTCAATCTCAGACTGGGCTGTGACACCCCGGATTTGCTTGAACCAAAGCAGAGCTCCCCTCCAGCACCCTGACATGCAGTCATGGCCAGCCCTCAATATCCACTTCAGACATGCTTTAGGCTCAGGGAGGAAGGGAGAAAGACCAGCATTTTTGCCCCAAGAGGAGCCCCAGTTGCACACCCATTGCACAAGAGTAGGGCTTTCCCACGGGGCCAACAAGGGGATCACCATCCCTGCACCCAGCACACCATTCCAGACCTGTTCCCAGCTTCCAGTGTCACAAGTGGGTGTTGCTGGATCGCAGTGCCTGGGGGGCTGGGAACATGCTTTGTATGCTGTGGGGACCAGGCTGCACACCCTGCTTCTGGTCCCTTCTTATTAATGTCAGAGACAGGAGGTTTCCCCTGCAGACACACTGCATACACACATGTGCATCTTCTCCCAAAAGGTATTGGGCAGGGAGGATGCCACAGCAGGCAGGTGGCAGTGTGTGAGGGACAGGTGTGACTCCATGGGATGGCTGGGCACAAGTGGTGCAGGTTGGTGGTGTGTCCTAGGCTGGGTCAGCAGGTGACCATGGGGACCTCTGCGTTGTGCCTCTTCCATGGGGCTGTTTCCCTTCTCCTCCACCCCAAACAGGAGCAGGGGATGGCCATAAGCAGACAGATTTAGTGTTGGAAACCAGACTGTTGCTGCCCTGCAACTTCCTTACATCCTTAAACCCAGCTTAAGACTTAAACTTCAGTGAAAACCTTCAGTGTGTTAATCACGTGGATGAGGGTGGAGGGAGCTTTCCCCATCACACTGATCCACCTCACCAGCCTGACATGGAAGGGGACAGAAGGGGAGTGATGTTTTTTCTCTGATGGGTTATTTGGATTATGAATGACCCAAGAAACACAGCACTTAGCATCACTTCCAGAGGGCTTGAGGCTTCTGGGGAAGGTGCAGGGCTGGGTGCCAGAGCCTTGAGGAGTGTTCCCAAGGGAGGGTGGTGGCAGACAGGGATGGTGTCACATTCGCAGCCAACTGCTCTGTAAATCTCTGCAAACACCCTCCCTCTACCATCAGCTCAGCAGGGTCCCAAGCCCTAAACACCAAAATGAGTTTGGTACCTCAGCTCAGCAGAGCAGTCAAGTTCATCCCTGCTCCCAGGGACATCATCTGTCCCAGGCAATGCCACCTCAATGTCAGACACCAGTGACAAGTGCCTGGGCGTTGTGGCTCTGCAGGCGGTACCTGCAGTCCAGCCAGTGCTCACTGAGGGCCCAGCAGAGTTGCTAATATTTACTGGGGACACAGGGGGAAGGAAGTGCTCTTTCCAGAGCAGGACTAAGGGCTGCTGAAGGGAGACCTCTGGCAAAGGGGAATGATGGCCTGCCAGTGGCTGGGAAAACTGAGGCTTGGGGGAGGTTGAGGGATGAACGCCAGGACTCAGCTACAAACCACCTCTGTGGCCCCTTGGTGTGGTCTGGGACCCACACCAAGATCCTGGTGGAGGGCAGAATAAGCATGGGCAGGCTTTCTGCAGCTTGCTCCTGCTGGTGTTCATCAGCCACCCAGCACTGTCAGGAAGGGGTTTGGGAGCTGTGTAGGCAGAGGGGGCCCTGTCTACAGCCTTCCTCCAGGCAGCTCCTGCTGGCTGTGGAAGGGCTGCCATGCCCAGCCTGGCTTTGGGGCTTCCCTTGCCAAGGGAGTTTCTCTGGCATGGGCATCATCCAGATGTGGGCATGATGACAGATTGCCAATGCCAGTCCCAGGCCAGAGGGATTCCCAGCCAGGAATAGGGTGCATCTTTCAACTTGGCTAAGCCCCATCCCATCCACCTTCTTCTTTTAAGTACTGGTAAACAGCAACCAGCTTCCCCAGCACAGCACAGTGGGAGTAGAGGGGGCCTGAGAAGCGCCTGCAGAAGAGCCCTGTGCTGGCTGGGGTGGGGATGGTGGCTGTCACTGGAGGCTGTCTGGTACTGCGTGTGTTTATAAAGAAGTGAGAGTCATGAATAGTTTTGCGCTGACTTTTCGAGGAGAGATTTGCCTCCACACGGCCTCCGCCAGTCGACTGCGGTTCTGACACATCTCACACTGCCCTGCCCAGCTCCCACCAGTCCTGGCTGCCGCATGGCTTGTAAAACCCTGGAGGAGAGGTACAGCCCATGGGCTCTGAGGCCTGGCACAGGAATTACATGGCAAACCGCTCCCTTCTCAGGAATCGGCGCTCGAGCCCCAGGAGTGCAGGAATGGAGGGGGGCGGCCGAGGGTGGCACGGGGTGAGCCCCAGTCGTGCAGCAGAAGCCATCGCTGTCTCCTTGTCAGTGTCTCTAGGCAGGACGCACAGGGGGTTCCTGTAAAACACAGCGTGGAAAGACCTGGATAATCCCCACACTGGGAGTGGTGGGGAATGCTCATCCCTCCAGCAGGCTGCCCTGGCTGGTCCAAGGCACTGGGATATAGGCTGCTATAGCAGACACTGCTGACTGGTGTCTTCAGATGTTTGAGGCTGCAGATGAGGAATTCCTGCTAAATCCCTCCCAGAGGCAAATTGCCATCGGAGAGCAACACCCAAGGGTCAGGTTTGGGCCAGATCCTGAAGCTGCTGACTGAGCCTTTGCCCTCTTGTCACTGCACCACAAACCTGACTGTGGACCCTGAGCATTTTTTGATGTAAATACTTTGTTTTGAGCCATTGACGCTCTCGCCAGTGCAAAATGGATTTCCACCAGCAATGTGCTTTATTCCCAGCAGCTTGGCACAAATGGCAGGGGTTAGATATACAGTGTCTCACGAAACAGCTGCGGAAACATTTGGTGGGAGAGCTGTTAACAGAGACACCTCTGTGCCCTGATCTCTGGCAGAAGGTGCTGGGGCTTCTGGTTTGGGAAAAACCTCAGGGGACAAACGGCTGTGGCTCTGCACAGGGAGGAAACACACCTAAATGGTCCTGTGCAAAGTAACAGCCCATCTAGAAGCCAGCCAAGAGGACACAGGAGGCTCTTGAGGGCACTTATCCCAGAATATTCTGAGTGGTAAGGGACCCACAAGGATCATCAAATCCAACTCTTGGCCCGCACAATTCATCTTCAAGAATCAAACATCCTCACTGTGCCTGAGTGTGTTTTCCAAATGCTTCTTGAACTCAGGCAGGCTTGGTGGTATGACCACTTCTTTGGGCAGCCTGTTTCAGTGTCCAACCAGAACATTTTTCTAATATCCAACCTCAGCCTCCCCTGACAAAACTTCAGGCCATTTCCTCAGGCCCTGTCCCTGGTTTCCAGAGAGACGAGATCAGAGCCTGCCCACCTCCTGTTCCCCTCACCGGGAAGTTGTACACAGCTGTGTACAACCGTGCTGTGACCCAGATGTGCACTGGTTCCAGGGCAACCAGCCCTTTTACGGACCGGCACCCCGAGCAGCGCTGGCCGCGCAGGGATGCCGGTGGCCGGGCAGGGCGGCCCTGCGGCCGATGCGGTGGCCAGACGGGACATCGCAAGCCCGGCCTCCTCGAGGGCAGCGGCGGAACCGGCGGAGCTGGGCGCCGGGCCCCACCGCGGCCCGTGTCCCCTTTACGGCGCGGGCCGGCGGGGCGGGGCGGGGGCGGTGTCCGGTGACGCGCGGGGC